CGTGTGCTCTTCCGATCGATTCTACATACAATTAACGTTTACATTCGCATCACTTATTTTAATAATACAAAATTGCATATTTAAATTGCGCTAGCTTAGCACAAGTTAGCACAACCTTCGGATTCTTCAGAATAACGATATAAAGGGCACTTTACTCTTGAGCACGCCCTTACCGTAAGAATTCTAAGTCCATTAATTCGGCTTTATAATTGTTCGATTGAAACAATACTGTATATTTGAGTTGTGCTGGCTTAGCACAAGTCAGCACAATCTTTGGATTCAACAGAACAACGATATACAGGGCACTTTACTCTCGAGCGCGCCCTTACCGTAAGATTTCTAAGTCTGTTAATTCAAGTTTATAATTGTTCGATTGAAACAATACTGTATATCTAAGTTTTGCATTTAAACACTACTATGCACAAGAGCAGTATTAATGCTCAAAAATCATGATTTAAATACTAATTTAGAAAATACTAAAAATTTTTTATAAATTGTGTAAAGCAATGGTAGCAGTAAATATATCTTAGCACTCGATAATATAATATGGAGTTATTTTTTGAAGAAAATATACAAATCGGAAAATTCCTAATAAATCGGCGCTTCAAAAAAATTAACTTTGATATTAATATTTAATATCAAAATGAGAATGCAAATAAAAATATCCCGAAATACTTGAAATACGACTACCTAGAAATAAGGCATTCAATTCAATTTTACAATACTAAATTTCTTTTTGCATCTAAAGGAGGATGATTCGCGCGGAATGCTATGTCAAGTTTTATCGCAAGACTCAGTTTTTCTACCAATTGAGTTGCGATGGCCTTCGTTTCAAGCTATTTTTTAAATGCTTCCGAAGAGATATTGGACGACAATGTCACGTTTTTTATCTTACAATTAACAGTAATTGCTTTCTGTATTGATACTACATAGATATTATTAAAACAGAAGTATATTTTGTCTTTAATAATAGTTTGAATTTTTAATATTATAATAATTAATACTAATAAATATATAAAATAAAATTAATTAATATTAATAAATATATAAAATAAAATAATTTATTTCTTACTCATATTCTTCGTAAAAATTAAAACAAAAAGTTACTTTTACAATAAATAATTTTATAAGTTGTCAACTTCAGTTTTGATTCTGCCGTCGATTCATTGGCACACAGAATGATTTTCAATATGGAGAAACTTACTGAAAGAGAAAGTAATGCAGTGTCGTAAACCTCTAGGTAAGTTCGTCGAGAGCGAAATCTGTTAGTCAATGATTCGCTCGACAGTGGTAAGCTTCTGTAGATCGTGTTCTTCAGAGTAAATCAACTTAATTAATCAAAAAGTTATTTTAATCTTTCTAATTACTTAAATTAATAGTTTAGTTTCATAAGTATGTTTGAAATTTTAATTTGTCTTTGAAAAATATTTTTAGAAACCCTTTCGTACTGAAGAGAATATCATGTTGCGAATTTTAATGATTTTATCGTTTATTTGCTCATTGGATTTACTGAGTGCTCGTCCTGCGGAGGAACCGACAAAATTTACTCTTGGCAACACACAAACTAATGCAGAAAATGTGGTACCGTCAAAATTTGAAGAAACAAAGGTAAAATTATGCACTTATAAAATTTGTTTGCGAAAATAAATGGAAATGCAATCTTTGGAAAACACAAGTTGAAAAAGTAACACGTATATTAACTCATCCGCCCATTTCATTGCAAAAACAATAACGTAGGAAACCGTAAATTTAAACTAATACAAAAATCTAAATAAAAAGATTGCTTTGTTCCTCAGTCGTTCAAAAATTCGAATTGAATCCTCGTAATTCGCCACTATAATCGGCGAAGTCAAAATTGCTATTTCGTAGGAATTATTAGAACGTGTCGGTGATGCTATTAGAATTGGCGGAGGAAGATTTCTCAATTTGATAATATTGGCTAGAAACATCATTGTTGTTCGAGCGGAGGTAAATACTATATCTAGCATTTATATAATGGCAATTTACTTCCGATAATATGATTATTCGCAAGAATTTACATAGGTAATACCTTCTGCCTTCATCAGTTTATAAAAAATTATCGTATTGTGAACAACCTCAATTGAGATTTTTTGGTTAATAATGTGAAATAATTGATGAAGGCAGAAGGTCGAAAAAATTCAATCGTAAACAAGTATGAGTAAAATATTTGTAAAACGATATTAAAATATTATTCTCATGTTAATTAAGCAACGCAAAATATATAGAATTTACTGTTATTCCTTTTGCATTTTCTTCCCATTTTCGCTGGTTATTTTAATTATTGCCAATATCTTTTTGTTTGCATAATTTTTAATTGTTAGCATACTGACGAATTTCCTTCTTTTGCAGCAAATAAGCAATGAATTCCGAAATAATCTTGACCCATTAATTATTAAATCTGACAAACCTCAAAGTCGCAGATCTATATCACCTGTACAAAGTACAACGCCAATAATTTTGTTCAGTACAACATCGCGGAAGTATCGTTTAGAAAATGAGACTGCGCAAGCCATTTTAGAAAGACGAAAACCTGATAATATCCTACGACTTTTCCTGATGCCAAAGCCACTCGTTGATCGAATTAAGAACGAAGAAAAGTATGGTAATACGGGAGATAAATTTAGCGGAATCGGAAGGGCGTTCATTAATGGTTACGAGAATTTTAGCAATTTTTTGAATGCCGTAGTGGATGTAAGTGCATTATAAAACAATATATGTATCAATGCTATAAATATTGAGAAAAATTTAAGAAGCAAAAGAATCCTCTTGAATAATCTACTTAAATATACAATACACATACAATAATTTGCGAAAAATTTTGTGTTTTCAGGCCCCTGCTAGTATCGTCAAACAAACTACTCTAGGAGTAACGAAAACGTTAAATGATTTGGGAGCACGGCTTATTGGTCTCGAATAATGAATATAAACGGATATAAATTAATCAAAGCAATTAATCAAATGTACGTCAAATTAAATAAAATGTTATGCATTACATAAAAAACTTTTCTTTAAAAACCATAAAAGTAGAATTGCGACATTTCTTAGTCGCGTATGCGGAAGTATTAGATACATAGGTATGCGGAAATATCGATGCACGATAACAAAAATGACTTTTATTAAATATTAATTATCAATAATAACTTTATAATTTTGGCGTAATTTTGGCGAAATGAAACTACATTATATATAATTTTCGAGGAACGATAAATATATCACGTTCCTTTATAAGGGAGTTGTCAAACGCATGACAACATACTTCTTTAGAAATACTTCGCTCATTCGAGTTTCTTACACAAGAGGTCTTATTCAAAGTGAAGGAATATCATTTTGCAATAGCGTATCTTCACTAAGTACAAATCGTGTTGTGCTTGACAGTGACAATGCGTGTGTTATACGTATTTCTATTGTTGGTCCTCATCGGAAGCGGTTTTGGAAGAGTAGTATGTACACTCCTAACACACATTAATAAATTATAATAGTTTTAATACCTATATATTTATTTCAAAGATTTTTTATTATTGTATCGTGCATATTAGTCCGTTAGAGTAAAACGAACTTGTGATATTTTACTAAAGACAATAGAGATATCTTCAATAAGTAAAACACTTTGGAAGAATTGCAAAAAATATTATAGGTTGTCTAATTGTGTTTAATATATTGATTTATAAAGCAATAGTAAATATTTATTTTAGTATAAGAATTAAATATTTGTCTAAATAATTATAATATGTTGAAACCTAGTTGCAATAAAAAAATTTGATTAAAACAAAAATTCTAGATGTTTAAATGTATGTGATAAAAATGTGAAATTAGACTTGTTAAAATTTATTACCTATAAAACCTATCTTAATTCTATGCTAAAATAGATGAATGCTAATTAACAAATTTCTCTTTATCTTCTTAATTAGATTGATGATTCAACTTCTGAGGAATCATCATCTGAATGTAGTGAAGAAAATTCATTAAGCGAAGAAAAAATAATAAACAGAAAGAGCGGCAGTTTGGTAAGGTTAAATATAAAAATAAATTATACTTATTATGCAAAATGCAAATGCAAAAAAATAATCTAAAAAGTAATTAAAAACTATATTATTAAAATCATTTTATTATATAAATAGCTCTAAATTCTTGTATACAAAATAACAATTTATCAAACAAAACTTGATCTTAAAAGATTACATTTAAGACAATAGTTTGACAGTATAAATATAAAAATTAATATAAAATTTATTATAAAACAAGAACATCAGATAAAGCTTATTTATCAGAATTTACTCTCTAAATAAGTTTGTTTAATTTTGTATCTAAAATTGTTAGCTAAATTGGCAACTAATACACTTCTTTTAATTAGATTACTATTGTTGATGGCATTCTTGGTTTAAATGTTAAGAAAAACTCAAATAATGTATCAAACTGTGAAGACATCTTTGGAGTTGGAGCTAACCCCATTGGTATGGTAAGGATTAAATATGAAAATAAACTACACAAAGTGAATTATACTTATTATCAAAATACAACAAATATTTAAAATATGTATGGAAATAAAAAAATATTCTAGTACATAATTTATTTATACTATAAAATTTTAGGATAAACCGATTTTCTTCGCTATAAATATGAAAATTGATAGATATTAAAATTTATTTAAAATAAATTAAAAACTATAGAAATATAATAATTATTTATAACAATAAATTTTTAACATTTTAAATTAAGATGCAAATGAAATATATAAAAGTTTTTATTTTATCAGTTATATTATATCATACTTGCAGAAGAATATAAATATAAATCAATTAAATTGTATCATACTTGCAGTAGAATTTAATACAAATTATTTAACGCTATTATTTCTGCGTAATAAAAGTTCTTTAATTATTTACAGTTTTCTGAAATACTTTCCAATGTAATTAAAATAGTGAGAAGAACTCTGGGTTTAATAACTTTTTTAATGAAAAAGAATTATCTTTAAATTAAAGGGAAAAGAAAGTATTATGTAAGTTGTAAATAAATTTTTTAATATTTAACATTGCATTAAATAATCTTTAACAATCAATTTAAAATTTTTTGTTTTATATATATGTGTGTATGTATATGGATAATTTATTTTCTTCCAGAAAAAACAATTTCAACTGTTGAAATCATGCACTGTTATTAAACATTTTATCTACGAAAAATGCACTTATTACTTTGATTACTCTATTAATCTTTAATCCTATATCACTTGAATGCACTATCTCTTTTCATAAACAATAAATTTAAAAATTACATGAAAATGTTGCATGTATGCTGTATTTGCAGTTACAATAAATAAATAAATGTTAAACAACTGATTTTGTTGTAAAATTATTTTATACGTATATTCTATAAATTGTTCATAAATAATAAAAAATTATAATGAAACAAATAAAAAAAATTAATAAAAAGAAGCACACACAAAATATTGTACAAATTGCAAGCATCATTGTTAGAAAATTGATTAAAATCGACTTTTATATTCATGAGTTTTGTTCAAAAATTAGTCGTTGAAAAGTTTACGAAATGTCGTCACAGTTAAAGTAGTATACACATAATTATTTGTCCTGATAACACTAAGCTATTACTGATATTACCATTGACTCATCGGTACGCTAAAATTTAAGCGCATGCCGAGGTCGTACGTGAAATTGCGCATGTCTTAAGTCACTTGAAAGTATATTGGCGATATGTAAATCGCGAATACACGAATAATTGATCTCTATCGACTGTCAGGTGGGTAGAAAAAAACATGCAATACTCGACTATAAAAGAAATGCGGTGCGACCATTGTCGTCTTCCGCAAGTTCGCTACTATTTCGTTGAGTCTCGGCTGAATAACGTGATGCCATAAGTGTGCTCGGATCTAAAGAACCTATAAAATCTAAAGTAATTTTCTTGAAGAAATCAGGATTGTTTGATCGCGAGTCTAAATGCGTGTGCATCTGCTGTTGATTCTGTTATTCGCGAGCACTGCCTTAGCGCGAAGTGCTCGGAATACAAGGCATACCGATGTGGTACGTACATCCTTCACATTGTCATAAACTCTTTTAAATTACGTGAATTATTTGTAATTATTGCTGCTAGTATATCTAACGTTAAAAATTGCGGAAGCAATTTTTCTGCTGATTAATAGATAGCGAATATACTTATAGATATAAAATAGTATTTTTAGTTATCTTATCGCCTTTTACCACTTCAAAGCTTTTATGAAAAGCCGTGAATTTATGATAAATGTATTTTTATTTTTAAAACATTAAGGATCTTACTTAAATATTATTACGTTTTTCGTATTTAAATTTCTCCATCGTATACAAAAATAAATTTGCTATTGCGAAATAAAAATGTTTGTTCAGTTTTCTTTTGTATGTGTCATAGTTTTACATACATCAAAATATCTTATACAGTTTACGTTTGAAATACTGACTCATCGATAGATAAGTTATTTTACATATCGCTTTTTGGTTCCATATCATTCTTGATGCAAGGACACTACATAATTAAAATAAAGTTTTCTTACTTTTTAAATATTTATCCTTATCGGTACATATCTATTCTTTCACAGACCACATTACCTCGAGTCAGTTCTACAACTCAAGCTAGCAATGGAAAAACGACCACGGACATTACTGAAGATGATGATGGAATTAAATGTTTGAATAAACTGTTTCCGACTGTTTTCAGTCAGCCGATAAAAACGATATCGAATCTTGTTCAATCGTCAATATACGATTTTAACAATGTTTTATCGATATTTCTAAAAGCACTAAATTTAAGCGGCTATATGTTACGCGCTACAATATATAATTGGGTAAGCGTATAAATGTTATTTATTTATTTAACAAAATCAAATTATTTTACTTTTCTTTTCTCACATGCATTCCTCGAAATTTAATCTTGTTCTATACTATAAATATAAATATATATATATATATAAATAATTAAAATTTTACGTCTGCGTGCAGATGCTGAATCCGTTAAGGATAGTAATTGGAGCATTAAAGCATTTAAAGGATTTAAAGCATATTTTTCGAATTCCGGTAAGTGTAATGCGCAAATGTATACAACTCAAATATAAATGTCTTTCTTATTATCGTATGATAGTACGTATTCCTTGTCTATAACAATTCGTTTATTCTTCAGTTAAATAAAAGATCGGAAATAAAACTAAATTTGTGATTGACCTTTTCATTACATATAAATATATTCTTTATTATTAATAATAACTTGTTCAATACACATAATACATCACTGTCTTACTATCTCGATTCTGCATTGTACAGTCTTTAACATCGCTTTTTAATTTATGGTCAATCGATTGCTTCGTCGACGTCAAATAACATATGAGAATAACGATTTTTAATTTACTAAATTTATATATTTATCTATATGTTTATAAATATTGTATGTATATTGAATACAAAAATCTTAAATTATTCATGCTTATGACATTGAAGATAATTTGATCTACAATCTCTATTGAGTACTCGGGACTAAATCACATAATCATGCACGCTATATACCTAACTGCACCCGATTGTTAAACGTTGAGAATCAATATGACGTACAATTACTGTAAAAACAGAAATTTTACAATTATTGTAAAATAGCGATTGATTACTTCTCGTGAATAAATATCGAGTATATAACGATTAGAATAATCTCCGAAGTATAGGATATGTTTCTTGTTTTACTAGAAAATTACAATTTAATGATCAATCATAATCTTCATCTTTGTTATACAATTTGATCTTATATTTAAATTAATTTTTCTGTTGCCAGATTTACCTATACGATTTATAAATCTTTATCTATCTATAAACATTAAAAAATAGATAGACAAGTTATACGTTTCTGACGCTCTCTCTTAAGACAGTTACAAATATAAATAATTATCAGCTGATTGGAGCTGTCGTTAGAAGTTGCGATATTAATCACCGGAAATTACAAGAAAAACATTATCAAGATTCAGACTAAGAAGGAAGTCCATGAATGCCTATCATTATATTTTTTGGTACACAGCGGAAACTTTTTGGTCAACTATACATCAACCTTTATCTACTTAAATTGTCTCATAAATGTATTTATAGATATTAATATTTAATAATTATCGACAATGAAATCGCGCGTTTCTTTTTTTCCTGATTTTTTAAAATAAATTTTCGTCTCTCGCTCGTTGTACTCATATTTCTACTAATATGAATTTGCGAATTCGGCGCGAGTAAAGTCGGCGAGATTCACCGTGAGAATCCTCAGGAAAGGAGCAACACGATTCCGAAAAGATTCGTTCCTGTGACGTGCAACGGGAATCGGTAGCTCGCGAGGAGGGTATACCGTCGATCTTAGACAGTGGTCTCGTCTAAGATCGATCTGAAATTCTAGGTATTGGTGGTGTCGTAACTCTTGTACGTGTGAGACGATCTCTTGTGCCTGACCGTGCAGAAGAGGATCATGCTGGCCACCTGGCCGAACAGCTGGAAGAAGGCCACTACGAGGCCCACCGTGCCCACCACGTGGAGTCTGGTTACCAGCCACATTTGAATGGCGGTCGCGCATCCCTCCTTGTACCAGAGCTCCTTGTTGCGACCCTCCGCATCCAGGCGACCGCAGTACCGTTCCCGCTGCATGCAGCAGGAATCCGGCACTCGGTCCTCCTCGGGCCACGCCTCGATTTGGAACCAATCCGTGTAGTCACGTACGCCGCAGCAATGAAACTGGAAGCGTAGATTTAAGACTTTGTTAAGCAAATTACTTAACTTTAATGGCCTGTATCGCGATTGATCTCTTAGCGGAACGATGCGAAGAAGTCTCTTTGAAATAAATCAATCAAACGCAGATCTGCAACAGCTTGCGCGGTGTGCAATGCAAATATCTTAAATTTGCAAATATTGCAAATATCTATATTAAAACAAACCTCCGTATGTATATGGTCCCACATGGCAGAAAGCGTTCCCGGCTCCCTCGTGACATTGTAATGCTTCTCAATGCCGTACAATAGTTCCTCCTTCAAGCTCCTCGCGAGATGTTCCCTGAACACGAACGCCAAGGTGCCCAGCATGAACTCGGCGAGAAACATGAGTATTACCAGACTGAAATACTGAAAATTACGGAATATGTTAACGTTCTCTTCTCGATATTAATTACACAAAGAGTCTCTTTGAGAATTTTTCGAGATTTCCAAAAATCCTTCTAATTATTCTAACACAAGATTTAATCTAATTATTCTCTATCAGAGACCGCGAGAAAACGAGTGTTCAAAGAGTGGAGGAAAAAATACTTCATATTCTATGTAATTACTACTGTGCACGCAAGGTCTTTCATACGTATATTATGTGAACGAATTTATCGATTCGTCACCACACATATACATACTACGTCACTACGCGAATTCCACGAGTGTAAACTATAATGAAAAAAATATTTTACTCTGCTTAGCAGGCAGATCTGTCTTAACGTCAGTTAAGAATGAGGAAAATAAACGAAGGAAAGAGACGATTTTTTAATAAAAATGTAGCGTGCGTCAGCATGCGTATTGCTCCGCGACAGGTTATTCAAAAGACAAGAAAAATTCAAATCACGATCTACTTGACGACGCAGATATTCAAGATAGTCAGATTATACGCTTCAGCCCGCGTGTGCCGCATATTATATTATCACAAAAAGTCCGTAGTGTACTAGTATACCGCACGCGCTTTTTGCAAAGCACGTGTGTTTCACAATGGATCACGTTGTATATACCAACCGTGATCAGCATGCATCTCGACTGGAACCACGCGCCGCAGCATCCGAAGAAGGCGATGACAAATGTGACGCATCCCGCGGCGAGCAGCAGCGAGTCCGCCGACACGAAGCTGTACTGCGGTACCAAGGTCGCGTATCCGGAGTAAGCCAGTCGCAGCCAAAGGCCTGCACCCAAAATTCCGCAAGCGCATAACTGTAAAACAAATTACACGCGTCAGTTGTGCCGCGCGTCATAAACGTATATGATTTTTCGACGGACGTATTTAAAAGCGGTCCCATTGAAGTCGAAATTATAGTAGAAATTATAGTGTACACATGGTGGGAAATACGTTGTACAACCAGAAATGGAATTCTATGGTTTAAAATAAGTAACAAAACGAGAGAATAAATTTTTTTCGAGTATAAGACATTGTTTTTGAGAAAAGGAATTTTAACTTAATCGAATGTGTCCGCGCACTTGACCGATACTTGACGTAATGATTTCTGCTACGACGATTTGCATATTATTTGTTTACAATTAGGATAATTAATTCAATCAGTTAATTTGTACGATAACAAAAAAGTGAATATATGTGAGATAAAGAACAATTTTATTTCTTATACATTAATTTTTTTTAGTTAAGGTATTGTTAGTATCGCCTTCTGATATTTTTATTAATGTGAGAAAAGTAAATTACAATTTAATATACATAAAAATATTTGTAATGTAATGCAGATGTACAGTTTTTGATAAACATTTTTACAATATATCTATTCTATTTCTAAATTAACTACAAAAAATTATCAAAAGAAGTGTAACTATCTTCGGTCTCTGCTACTCATAGATGTAGAAAATTATAATTAAAAGCATCAATTCAGAGCCTTATCACACGCAACTCGGAGCACGCGAGTTCACTAGGTCAATGCCGCGTTATTTTCATTCGATCGTCCGCGACAATGCTCGAGGCACGAAGGTACCTCGATTATGCAGCGTTTAAGCAAAATCGGAAAGTGGAAAGTGTGCCGTGAATTAGAAAGTATCGCGACGCATTTCGACGCGTTTCGACGCGGAAGGAAGATCGATGGCTGTGGTTGACGACCGTCGCGAAACTTATTTAACTCACGGCCGCACAATGCGCCAACGAATGTGTGACGGAGCGAATGGCAAGACCACAGTGTGTACGATGGAACGCTCTCGCGTTCGCGATAAGAATTAAAATAACAACGAAACTGCTGCGCGCGACGCTATTTCGCTAACCAGCAAAGTGTATCGGATGTCGATGCGGTCACCCGTGTACATTTAACGGTTTATCGTCCACCTGTTAACTTATTCGCAAATAGAGGGACTTCTCAAGTTCGGGCGCGCTAGCGAGTGAGTACGCGCTTTCTAGATAAGTCGGCGGTTAACTCGTCGTCAATGACAGGAAATCAACCGTGCGACCAGATTGAAATGTTGACCTTACGGTTAATTCATCGGCGGTACATCCGACACGCGACAGCGACGTCCCTTCTAATCGAACCCGGACGAGTAAACGAGGAGAGGAATGTGCTTACGCGCACACGTAGCGTGTAACAATCCGCGGAAGAACCGCAATGTAATTTATAAATTGCAACCTGCGCGACGCAGCATGATTAGGAAATTGATGCACTGTTACGCGACCCCGATAGCTAATTGTACAAAAGAGCGCGTCCGTACTTTCTAATTACCGTCAATGGTGCATGCGCGAAAAACGGGACGGAACGTTCTTTTGCAACGGCGTTGTATAATCCACAACGTGTCGTTGACCGTCAAATATTCGGTTCGTATCAATAGTTCGTTGTTTATAATATTTACTACATGACATTAAAATTTTTAATAATTCAAGATATGATTTATCTTTCTAACGAAGTATACTTCATCTGATTTATTTTTTCGACTTTTTGGAGTAATGAACTAAACTCCAAACCACTCCGGACTATCTCGCCCAGCCTGGAGTTCGCGCAGTGAACCGTGATTAGCGCATCGAAGTGTAATAAAGGTGACAACAGGTGAAACCGTAATAAAGCACGCGAAGAGGACGTGTACCAGTTTTGCAGCGTGCTGAGCAACCGGTAAACCGGCGCGCTTTATCGCGCCGACTTACCGGGTACCGTAAGTTCATAGCTCATAGAGCGCGGTTCAACGCCCTATTTAAGGCTTTCATCGCGATACAGACGCCGCGGGCGGACGATTTCAAGTGGAATAATAAAGCCCGGGGGAATGGTGAATGCGGCGGAATGCGGCGCGAATTACAAAAGCGCGTCGTCGGTTTAATCGCCGGCCCGCGTGGGTTGTTATTACCGCCGGCTATTGTCTCATTTCTGTCATTTCTGAGCCAATTGGTGCCGCGCGTTTTGCACTGTGTATACGCGCGTATACACGCGTGTTTACGAATTAAGCGCCGCAAACGAAACTTTTCATTCAAATCGAAACGTTCTCACACGTATCTTTTCAGCGCGAACGAGACGTTTAAATATAGCTCAAGTACCGTTCTCGAATAATTCGCGAAGTAAAATGTAACAGATAAAAATTTCCGACCGCACACGCATTCGAGCCACTTCTATTTAAACTATTTCACTGCTATTAAAAAAAAAAGATTATATTACGATTTATAGAATCAAAACGCAGCGTCAAAAATGATCGATAAGAAGACTCTGTACGTACCCAGATTAAAACGTTGAGGGAGCAGAATACGTGCCTGATGCACGTGTATCCTGTGCGGCCCATGATGCGATCCTTCATCAGATCCTTACTCCGAAGGGGCTGGCAACGTTTCCTGGAAACGTATAAGAAATAGCAACGTGATCCTTTTAGGCAAACGTGAGAAGGCGAGTGGAGATCGTGTCGCTACAAGAAAACTCTCGAGATTAGCACCACATCGCGAACTGACGTGAGACAGCGGTGCCCGTTACTAGGTTCAAGGTTACTTGAGCGATCGTTCACGGGTGTTAATTACATCGGCTCGATCAGCAACTTTCGTCTTCCGTTGTACGAACGCGCGGAGAGAGAGCTCCACGCTCTTCTCACTATACATCACGAGTATCATTATGCGATAATTATGTATCACCGATAAGAAACCCACCGTGCGCATCAGCGCGAGAGCCTCGTGATGCACATCACGGATCACCAGGAAATACTACATCTACGTTCGAGGAGCAACCTGAGGTGGACAGGACGTGGGAGGAGGGGGAAGAAGAGCCGCGACGAGAAAGAGAGAGAGAGAGACAAAGAGAGAGATGAAGAGAGGGAACGCGGGAGGTGAGGAGAGCGAGGAGAGCAGGGAGAAGGAGGAGAACAAGAAGATCGACGTGCGACCTACGCGAGCGAGGATCCCGCTCTCGGACGCGCACCGACGAGGAAGAAATCTGTAGGATCGTCCCGGC